GACCTGGTGCCTTCTTCCTGTGTATGGCGCCAGGCCCCTTCACACTTGTGATGAGAATGATGTATGTTGGGTCTGCGTTGCAACGTTGATTGGGCCATTGGTATCCTAGCATTCTGCTGCGCTGTCATTGGTATCCTAGCATTCTGCTGCACTGTCTTGCACTACGTGGTAGAGGTCAGTCCCGGTCAGGTCAGGACTTCTATCTAAGTCTTCCGCTGCGCCACAAGGCACCATTTTGTATGTATCAGAATGCACATTGCTTGTTGAGATTCCACTTGCACTGAATTGTCCATTCAGTCCTTTTTATCACATTGCGGATCCTCGGTTTCTTACGTATATCGCCCAACTAGGCATGTGACAGTTGGTATCGGAACACCGCACGTGAATCAGGACAACCTGATCTGACATGTGTGCGGGGACTAAGTAGCTGATTAGTCTTGATTGATTGATTAGAGCACACTAGTTAGCTCCCAAATCACGATTTTGACCTGACTACCGAAAATCGAATTTTTTTTCCTTTCTTTTCTTGGATTTCGTTTTCTCGCTATTTCTGTTGTGGAAAATTGCAATAGCGCAACATCTGAAATTTTCGTTTTTGTTTTTCTTCTGAAAATGCGAAATTTTGTTGGTAGAAAATCCAGAATATCTTTTTTCAAAAATTTCGTTGCAATTTCCCGTTATTTGGAAGTTCGAAATATTTTTTTTCTGAAATTCGGTTTTTCAAAGCGGTACGGAAAATCCCTCTTGCAGTACCATTTTCCAAATTGCGAATACTCTCATCTGAGTAAGTCCAAATACTTGTTATTTCTTTTCGGAATTTTTCTTATTCGCAGTTCTATGATTTTCACTACCTGATAATCATTGGCAGTCTGAAAGTTTGAATTTTTTTTCTTCGATAAATTCGCACTTCAAGGGAGGTTGGTAGACCTACTGAACTCGCAAAACTCGGAATTTTTACTTTTTCGAAAATTTTGTTTGTTTTTTATTAGTGGCTCCTTATATGGGCGATTTTATCCCACCCACCCCTCCCCACCTACGTTGTTGCCCCCTCTGGTCTTACCTTCTCTATCTGTCTCCGGGTACCCCCTGCAACGGCATTGGTGAGTTGCCACGTCAGCAGACCATGTCAGCAGACCATGTCAGCAGGCCACGTCAGCAGACCACGTCAGCCGACAGCAGTGCCCCGTCAGCAGCAGGGAGTACCACGTCAGCAGGCCCCCGCCCTGGTCTATGCTTTTGCGCTCGCAAACAGCCGTCATGGACCAGAAGTTCGGGAAACAGACGAGGCCTATCAGGCCCGGATGCTGCTTCTGCTCACCGAAGCCAAGCAACGGTCGGATGCAGTAGCAGCCACAGCAAAGAAGAAGGCAGAGGACGGCGAGAAGGCACGTTTGTTGGCAATTGAACAGCAGCGCCAGCAAGACGAGGCAAGTGCAAAGGATGCCGATGAAGAACGACTTCAACAACGCGAGAAGATATTGAGCATAGAGCGAGCTTTGCTCACAATGGCAGCTGATCGGCGGGCCGAGGCTGAGAATGGGAAGCTGGAAGAGAGTGGAAACAAAATCGCTCTACTCCTCTCCCATCTCACGGACCTCCTGACCACGTGCATTGCACAACAGGAGGACGTTCACAACCTCGACGACGCGGTTCAGACACACAATCAGGTGTTTGACCAACTCACCAGCCGCACCGTCGCCACCCCCATTGCCAGCTCTTCCAACATCTGCGATCGCCTCGAGGCATTGGAGATTGAGGTTGGATCCCTCAAGGACGGCGTGCAGTTACAGCAAAACGCTACACATCAGTTGGAGCAGCGGATCTGTAGTGCCGCCACTCACTCGAGATCGAAACCGCACGAGACAACTCCGAAGTTCGATGAGCAGGAGATCTTCTGCGATTCGACGAGGACGGAACCGATTCCGTGGTTCCGTAAGTTTGAACCCAAGTTGCAGCTACACTACGTCAGCGAGCACAAGTATCACGAGTACTTAATACTCCTGCTCGGGGGGCGCGTGCCAAGCGTGGTAACCTGTTGTCCAAGTACGGAGTGGTAGCTGACGACTTGCATACCAAGATCAGCTGGGATGATCTAAAGGCAGCATGGCATAAGCGGTTCCAAGTAGAGCCGCCGAAGATCAAGGCAATGGAGAAGCTGATGACCTTCAAACAAGGCACGTTGCCGAGTGTTGACTGGATTCCCGAGTACCAACGCTTAACATCCATCCCAGACATTCAAACAGGCTTCAAAGCCATCAAACAGTACTTCATCTCGAGGTCGTGTCCAGCGTTGGGCAATGCCTTGACTCACGTCGAGGACACCCTAACGACAACGGCGGAGCTCTTCGACAAGGCCGTGCAGATTATTGCCACGAACAAGGAGGCTAAGAATCTCCACCGTTCATCTGCGACAGGCCCGAGCAGAGATCAGCATCGGCCGAAAGTGGCCGTGGTCGTGGCGGCAACGCCAATCGACCAAACTAGCGAGGCCGTGTCTGCCAATGAAGGGGACAGACTCGCAGCCGTCCGGGATGGTGGCCGCCCCGGCAAAGGCCGAGGACGCGGCAAGACGAAGATAAACACCGAATCTAGCCCCGGGCCCGGCGCAGCAGCTCCAACCCCATGGTCCCAATACGGTTTCTTCGAGCAAGCATACAAGGCACGCACGAGATTTTGTTATTGTCTGTGGTGTAACAGCGATCTCCACGAGACAATGGGTTGTTCGTCAAAAGGCAAGGGCAAATCGAGAAACTGAGCACCGTTGGGAGTAAGTTGACGACACTCTCGACACCTTTGGAACCGGTCACTTCGCTGGTGACCGCCCTTCGTTCCGTCGATAGTCCTCCTCTTCTTTATTATTTGGAGGACTATGCTGCCCGACTCGTTCCTACGCTGTGTACTCATGCTCATGGACAAAACGCGTGTGAGGCATCTTCTTCGTTTGGCAACGACAACTTATCGTCTTCAAGTGGTTCTTCACGGGATTCGGCGCGCGAGTTCAACATAGAGGTATTGGACCCGCTCACGTCCGAGGATTTCGCATGGCTTCCTCTCCCGGCCATGGGCCACTTATCGGGACCGCAATGCGCAGCATTATGCGCTCGTCTTCACACGTACTTATTCTTCTATGGACCACCAACTTCGTGGACGAATGACGAAGTCGCGGTGGGGGACATCCTTGCATATGTTACCGAGGTGGCCCGTGAGTTTCGCAATGAGCGGTACGACGACAACAACGCATCGCTCCTCTATGTCCGCATCCAAGTTGGGCAAGCGTCCTGCAACACTTTGCTGGATAGCGGCGCGTCTCGCGATTTTATGAGCCAGGCCTTTATGCAAAACGCTGGCCTTGGCTCACAAGTTCGAAGGAAGGCAAACCCGATGGCAATCAAGTTGGCAGACGGAAGGACGCAGCAACTTATCGACCGTTACATCGAGGCCGTACCGGTGTATTTCGCACCTCATGCATGCGAACCGGTGACATTCGACACTTTGGACACGGACTTCGACATTATTTTGGGAATGCCTTGGCTTGCAAGTGCGGATCACACGATCAACTTCCAACGGTGGACTCTTACCGTTCGCGACGCCTTCGACGCCGAAGTGTTGTGTACTATTCCTCCTCTGCACCCTTAAATTCCGTGCCAAGTGGTAACAACCAAGTCGTGTTGGGCTACTTGCGCTTACGAGCAGCCCGACGAGATAGGCCTATGCTTCCTATGGACTATTGCGGTAGCCGACTCTTCACCCATGGACTTGTCTTCAGACCCTCGTGTGGTGCGGTTGTTTGATGAGTTCACCGACATCTTCGAGTCACCTACCGGTGTGGTGTCGGATTGGCCAATCTCTCACGGGATCATTCTTGAGGCCGGTGTCGTGCTGCTGAAAGGTTGCATTTATCGCATGAGCGAGGAGGAGCTTACGGTCCTCCGCGCGCAACTCGACGACTTGTTGGACAAGGGCTGGATCCGCCCTAGTAGCTCTCCATACGAAGCGCCAGTTCTCTTCGTACGGAAGAAGAACAAGGATCTACGATTGTGCATCGACTACCGCAAGCTCAACGTGCAAACCGTCAAGAATGCGGGGCCTCTTCCTCGCATCGACGATCTTCTTGAGCGATTGGGCGACGTGAAGTATTTTACTAAGTTGGATTTAAAGTCGGGATATCATCAAATCTCGGTCCAACCGAACGATCGTTACAAATCCGCGCTCAAGACGCGGTATGGGCATTTTCAGTGGGTGGTCATGCCTGTTGGCCTCACCAACGCCCCGGCGGCCCGGCGACCAATGAGTTTCGTGCGATGTTGGACCGGTTCGTGCTGGTCTACTTAAACGACATTCTCGTTTATAGGTGGTCATTGGAGGATGATCTTGAGCACCTTCGACGAGTGTTGGAGACGCTCTGCCGCTCCAAGTACAAGGCCAACCGCGACACGTGCGAATTTGTCCGGCAAGAGCTGGAATACTTGGGCCATTTTGTCACTTCGGAGGGCATCAGTCCGCTATCAGACAAGATTCAAGCCATCCAAGAGTGGCCGGAGCCACGGATGTCCGTTCGTTCCTTGGCCTTGCCGGCTACTACCAACGTTTTATCAAGGGATACTCAAAGATTGCGGCCCACTTATCCAAGCTTCAATGCGAGGATCGGTCGTTTGACTTTGGGGAGGATGCGCGGGAATCATTTTTGGCTCTCAAAGTTGAGCTATTATCTGCGGAGGTCTTGCACATATACAACCCGCTATTGCCAACGCGCGTCACTACGGATGCGTCCGACTATGGGATTGGCGCCGTCCTCGAGCAACACGATGGCGTGGACTGGCACCCTTCAACAAGAAAGTGTTCGTCGTGCACTCCATTGACGATGCATGCAAGGAGGAGCTCCTAGCCTTCGTCCAGGCACTCAAGCGGTGGTGGCACTTCCTCCTTGGACGAAGTCAATTTCGATGGGTAACAAACAACAATCCGTTGGTCTTTTACAAGACCAAAGACACCGTCAATAGCACCATCGCCCGTTGGATGGCTTTCATCGACCAATTCGACTTCTTTCCCGATCACATTCCCGGGAAGTCTAACCGTTTTGCGGATGCTCTTTCACGGCGTCCAGATCATTGTACCGCAGTCTACTTGACTTTTGAGATCGGTGACGACCTGCGGGCCAGCTTCATCCGCGGCTACCAAACTGACCCGGAGTTTCGCGACAAGTACGCGAATTGCTCCTCTCCTAATCCGACACCTTCTCACTACCGGATCTAAGAGGGGTACTTGCTTGTCCACACGCGGGGGAAGGACCTTCGTTGCATACCGAGCGACTCTCACTTGCGTACACGGCTTCTTGGCGAGTTGCACGATGCTCCCGCCACTGGACACTTTGGAGTCGATCGCACGATTGGCCGACTTCGAGAGCGATTTTGGTGGCCCGGCCTTCTTGACGACATCACACGCTATTGCGAGTCATGCGAGGTTTGCGGACGCTGCAAATCCCGCAACCATCTTCCGTATGGCGAGTTGCGACCGCTACCGGTCCCCTTGCGCCGAAGGGAAGCGATTGCCATGGACATTACCGGGCCGTTCCCCAAGCACAAGACCGGTGTGGATGGGATTCTCATGGTGGTCGACCGACTCACCAAGTTTGCCATGTTTTTGCCTTGCCGCTATCATGCCAAGGCACCGGAGTTGGCCAAGGTTCTTTACGCCGGTTGGATTCGAACCAAGGGTTGCCCTAAGGAAATCGTCTGCGACTGCGACACTTGGTTAATGTCGGATTTTTGGTTGGTGCTCGTCAAACGATGGTGCTCATCTCTCAAGCCAAGTTCGGCTTGCCACCCCCAAACCGATGACTAAAGGGAGAGGGCGCATCAGACTGCACAGGTTCTCCTTTGCACTCTCATCCGTCCCGACCAAAAGGATTGGGTTGAGCGGCTGCCGGATGTCGAGTTGGCATACAACTTGTCCATCCACCCGGCTATCGGGATGTCGCCCTTCGAGTTCGAGCACGGCTCGCGGGTCACTTCGCCGTTGGACACAATCATTCCATGAACGGCCGAGAGCGACGACCATCTTCTTTTCTTGCATCGGATGCAAGAGCTACTTGTCAAGGCATGCGATCAGATGGCCAAGACGCAGCAACGCATGAGCCGACAGACCAATCGCCAGCGTCTTCCTTGCCCATTCCGCGCCAGCGTTCTCGTTTGGTCTCGTTTGGGTTTCCGCCGCGGAATTCAGCCTTGAACAAGACATCTCTCGCAAGCTCCTCCCGAAATGGATGGGGCCTTGGCCGATCCTGGCACCCGCTGCGGATGCACCCGTGGGACCTTCCTTCACCATTCAGGTGCCCGCCCACTTGCCCGTCTACCCAGTCTTTCATTGCTCCAAGTTAGCTCTTTACACGCCAGCGGAACATGACGATTTTCTTGGGAAGACCCACCCTCTATGGACGGTTTTCAAGAGCTCGGCGACATCATCTCCCAACGGCGCTACGGCAACAGGCCAACCGAGTACTGGGTACACTTTGCGTACTGCAGTCACAGAGCTGACCATTGGTTGACCCGTGCGGAACTCCAAGCAACAGCTCCGGATGTTCTCGCACGCTACGAACGCAAGATGCAAGGCAAGCCGGTATCTTTGGCTCCACGTCGCACCCGCATCCACGTTCCACCTTCGGACCGTCAGCTTCGCCCTCGCCCCGGCTTGACTTCATAAGGAGGTACTTCCCAGGCACTTCACGTGCAGTTCAGGAGGCAGGAGGTAGTCTTCAGGATTCGGCAGCAGCACTCTGGAGGAGCGCTGCAGGAGTAGTAGTAGCGCTAGCAGTAGTCTTCAGCTCTGGGCGCTAGTAGCGTTAGCAGTAGTCTTCAGCGCTGGGCGTTCTTAGGAGCTACAGTAGTACTAGAGAAAGAGAGATTGGGCGGAGGCCAGGGATACTTACCTGCAGCGCCATAGCTCCAGCTTCGCCTTTGAGGGACCTGCAGCACAGCGCCAACTTCACAGGTTAGTACCTGGCATATGTGAGAGAGAGAGTTCCTCTTCTTCCTCTTCTCAGTCCACCATCTCCATCTCACCCTCTCGTTACCTGACTTCACTGCATCAGCAGACTATGAGAGATCGGGCTTGGTGACATTTGGATCCAGACTCAACATTTGGGCTTCAGACATTTTGACCATGGATTATTTGGGACTTGTAACAAAGACTTGGTGTTGACGACATTCCCATCTCTCCCCCTCTTCTTCGTCTGTTCCCCTCCTCTTCGTCTGTGCAT